GCGCGCGCGATGCTCGCAGTGTTTTCAGCGTCTGCCGCCTCAATATACGAGCTCACTTCATGAGCATTTTATCGTTTCTTTTGAGAAAAACTGTCATGTACAAACAGAAACTTAAAGGTGTGCAAATCTTCTAAATAAAAATTCGGTTTAACTTAAAAGAAACTGTGACAGAAATATTTTACCTAATCTAATGATAGTACTACTATTAATACAATTATTATTAAAACATCATTATAATTATTATTTAAAAAAAAAATGTAAGGAGTATTTACCAGAACATTTATTTTCCAGAATTTATTTAAATATACAACACTTGTGGTAAATAAATTAATTAATAATAAAATGTATTTTTTTTATATAAAATCAATTAATTAGTTGCTTTTTAAATTTTTTTTATTTAACCATTTAAATAGTCTAGAAAAATTAAAACACAAAAAAGAAAAAAGTAAAACTGAAAAAACTGAATTTGGAACAAAATAAAATGGAATTTGAGAAAAAAATAAATAAAACTGATTTCATATCTTAAGCTGTTTTGATGGCTGGTTGGTTGAAATGGCTGAAAACTTTTGGCTGTTCAACTGTTAAAGGAATAGTTCACCCAAAAATGAAAATTGTCATATGCTCACTGCAGTCCAAACCTGTGTGAATGCATTTATTCTGAACACCGAAGAAGATATTTTGAAGAATGTGGGTAACTGAACAGTTTCTGGTCTCCATTGACTTCCATAGTGTTTTTTTTGCATATTAAGAAAGTCAGTGGGGACCAACAACTGTTTTATTGCCCACTTTCTTCAAAATCTTTTTATGTTCAACAGAAGAAAGAAATTCATGCAGGTTTGGAGGGTGAGTAAAGACAACTTTGGTGAACTATCGCACATCTGATTTTCAACAGTTTACATTCACTCAAAAATGAAAATTAGCCCATGATTTACTCACCCTCAAGCCATCCTAGGTGTGTATGACTCTCTTCTTTCAGACGAATACAATCGGAGTTATATTAAAAATGTCCTGGCTCGTCCAAGCTTTATAATGGCAGTGAATGGGTGTTATTCAATAGTCCAGTGACGTGCAGAGAGTTCCTCAGGGGCAGGGGCTCAAATCAATGCACAGATCTAATATACTGACACATCTGATTTTCAACAGTTTACATTCACTCAAAAATGAAAATTAGCCCATGATTTACTCACCCTCAAGCCATCCTAGGTGTGTATGACTCTCTTCTTTCAGACGAATACAATCGGAGTTATATTAAAAATGTCCTGGCTCGTCCAAGCTTTATAATGGCAGTGAATGGGTGTTA